CTCGGTCCCAATTCCTAGTAGGCTTGGAATTAACTTCATTTAGCTTTCAAAAATTCAATTTTTTATTTTTTTATAATTTGGAAATTATATGGATGGTTTATGTTAGGTTGGAAGAATGGCTGGTCAATTTGCCAAGCCAAGATCAGATGCATATGAAACAAGGGATGGAGTGAAGCTGCCAAGTTATAAGGGAGATAACATAAACGGAGACACCTTCGATGAGAAATCAAGAATCCCCGATCCTAACAGAATGATTCGGGCCTATTGCCAGGCTGCCTCAACCCTCAACCTTCTCCGGGCCTTTGCCACCGGAGGCTACGCTGCAATGCAGAGGGTTACTCAGTGGAATCTTGATTTCGTCGAAAACAGCGAGCAGGGAGATAGGTACATATCTATGTCTTATTGAACGAAAAATAAATATTGTTTTTAACTGAATTCAGTTTTATTCGGTGACAGAAGGGGAAAAAATGATTTAATTTCGTCGTTCTTGAATTAACAGCACAACTTAGGAGTTAGGTGTATTCACAGAAAATGGCAAAAAAATAAGTAAATATTTGTAGCTTTTAGTTAAAGTAGTAACATTGAAACTCATTCAAATTAGAAATTAGGTAGTGTAGGTGGGCTAAATGAATTGGTTTTGTTTAATTGCTTTCTCTAATATATTTTGAAAAACTTCCCATGTTATTTTTTTAGCAAGAACTCGACCCAAGATTCAATTTTTTTAGCGAACTACCCGTAAGACTCACTTTTTAGGGGGTTGGGTGCCAACAAAATGCATTGTAAGGGTTTTTTTGCCAATTCAATATAACACATGGCTACTAAATGCAACCAACTCAATATGAAGTAGCTAAATTTGCTCCTGATTGAATATCACTAATGTCATATATTTCATTGTTGTCTCTCAAAAATATGTACGTTAGCCCATTGAATTTTTTTCCCCGAAACCTTAATGATTGAATTTGTTCAATAGGTATCAAGAACTGGCTCACAGAGTGGATGAAGCCCTCGGATTCATGGAGGCAGCTGGGCTTACAATCGACCACCCAGTTATGTCCACAACTGATTTCTGGACTTCACATGAGTGCTTATTGCTACCTTACGAACAAGCACTCGCGAGAAAGGACTCTACTTCTGGGCTCTACTATGGCTGCTCAGCCCACATGCTGTGGGTCGGCGAACGAACCAGGCAACTCGATGGGGCCCACGTCGAGTTCTTGAGAGGAGTTGCTAATCCCCTCGGTATCAAGGTACTAGTTTTTTTTTTTGAGAATCAATAATCAATTTTTATCTAGAATTTAGTTTTTTCTAATGATGGGTGTGTTTGTTTGTTTGTTTTTTTTTTTTTGCAGGTGAGCCAAAAGATGGATCCGAATGAACTTACGAAGCTCATTGATATATTGAACCCAACTAACAAGCCGGGGAGAATTACGGTTATAGTGAGAATGGGTGCTGAGAATATGAGAGTTAAGCTTCCTCATTTGATTAGGGCTGTTCGTGGAGCGGGGCAGATTGTTACTTGGGTTTGTGATCCAATGCATGGGAACACAATTCAGGCTCCGTGTGGACTCAAAACCCGTGCTTTTGATGCAATCTTGGTATGACCCTTTTGTCATCTTCTTTACATTAACTGTTAATTCGACTAAAGTAGCCATACAATCGTTTATTGCACATGTGGCACTCGTAGAATAAGGAATAAGGTTAGGGAGGGAATATGGTATCTTGTTTTTCGGCATTTTTATTCCATTTTTATTCTACTATATATGCTCTGTTTTCCAAGAAAATATAGGAATGAAAAAGGGTAAGTATTACTTTCAAGAATCGTATTTTACTTTTTTCGACTATCTTTTCCTTCACCGATTGAGACTCGTAAAACATTTAAGCGAACCCGTCCGATTTCTGGAAACAAATAGAACAAGATCCTGTCTTTATATGTTTTTCCCCCCAGTTTCACATGTTGTGAATACTACAAATTTATTATAATTTCAAGAATCCCTTGTCTTTTTTCAAATAAGAAACTTTATTACGCCTCGTGGCAAATTGGTGAGGTAGGTGAAGAAGAAGAATATGAGTAGGTACACACTACACACCATTATTTGTGATGTTGCACTCATTATGAATTATTGTCACATGGCTCTCAACTTTCTAATTAGTCCCACTCGAAGTTTATAGTGTCGCTCAAGTAGGGCCGCACTTTGTCGGGTTGAAAGCTCGATTTATTCATAGTTCATTTTTTACCGTAATATAATAGTAAAATTAAATCCCCTTTTTTCGTCTATCTGTAGAACGAAGTGAGGGCTTTCTTTGACGTGCACGAGCAAGAAGGCAGCAACCCAGGTGGCATTCATCTCGAAATGACCGGACAAAACGTGACCGAGTGTATCGGAGGATCAAGAACCGTGACGTACGATGATTTGAGCTCAAGGTACCACACACACTGCGACCCGAGATTAAATGCTTCGCAGTCTCTTGAGCTTGCCTTTATCGTCTCCGAGAGATTAAGGAAGAAGAGAATGGATTCTCAACGCTTGACCGCTTGAGGTTTTTTTTTTTAAGGTTGTTTCGGATTTCGAACTTTATCATATAGCTATAATCGGCCGATAATTTGGCTATAAGAATCTTGGATTTGTATTTGTTGGAGAATAATTCTGTGTAGGTTATCTGAAGATTGTGTTTTCGTCAAGAATAAATGTACTTATAGAGATTTCGAAACTATTTCGACTATAAATTATTTGTTTGGCTATTTCGAAACTATTTCGACAATAAATTGTTTGTTAAGAATAATTTTATTTCATTTTTCCTATCGAGTTCAGTTCAGTTTGTGTTTGTAAAGTGCTATTTTTAAAAAAATATTATCATTTGTTATGTTAATCAATTAGTTGTTAATTAAATCATTTTAAATCGTAGTATACTATGATAAATAAAATTTACCAAAATATCTACAATTATATATATTTTTTAGTAACCGCAATAATTGACATAATTTTATTTTATTTTACAATATTTGAACAAATGAGTTATAATATTGATTGATCGATAAAGACAATTCTTATAATTTTGGGCTCAGATTAACCTCATAGATATTAAAAAAATCCCAAACATAACTCTACCTTTGGGCCTGAATATATTTTCTTCTTAATTAAATCATAAGCCCAAACATGATATAAACAACACAAAGCCTATCCTAGCTGGGTTGAATTATGGGTGGAAACCAGAACGGAAATTCTATGATCCGTATTTATTAATATGTATTTTGGAAAAATGTATTTAATACAACATGCAACAATTCATTTCGGATATTATTTGAATCAAGATTGAGATAAAAATCAAAATTAGGATTTACGATCGATTTTATTTTCAAACATAATTCTGAAAATTATATTTAGTTTTAAAATTACATTTAGAATATCATATTATCATGTGTATTTACAATAGGGTGGAAATCGGAACGAATTTCCGAATTCGATTTCTTTCCGAAATCTAAATTTGGAGCAACATTTTCATTCCTTAAGTTCTGAATTATTTGAAATTTCGATTTTGTTTTTGTTTTTTTCTCTTTCTCTAGAAATAACACTTATAATATTAATATTATTATAAGTGTAATTCTATTAAAATTATTTTTTATAAAGGAAACCCACACCCCCTACTTAGACATGGCCATGGGCTGGTTTTGGGCCCGGAACCGGCCGAATCGGTCTGTTGACCGGGTGAACTGGCCCGGACCCGTGAACCGGCCCGTTCTACCCGGGATGAGCTCGGTTCTAGAAATGGTGAACCGTGAACCGCCGGGCTGGTGAACCGGCCATTATTTGCCTTTTTTTTGAATTTTCCCCTCCCCAACTTTTCCTATAACTACTCTCACACCCTAATTTTTCCTATAATTTACTTATTCATCAAATATTTCAAAAAAAAATAAAAAATAAAATAAAATAATTCAAATTTTCCGGGCCGACCCGGAACCGGTCCGAATAGGCCCGGAACCGGCGGGCCGACTCGGCCCGCCGAACCGTGCATATTATGGGCCGATTCCGGTTCCAGAAATAGTGAACCGTGAACCGGTATAAACCGGTCCGAAGAGCCCATGTCTACCCCTACTGAACATTAACAAGTACAGCTCAGCATTCCACACACACACACACACTGACACGAACAAAACGAAAGCTGTGTAAAATTATTGAACAACTGAACAAAATCCAATTCCTTCGAATCCATCCATTAATGGTGTGTGTTGCCCCTATAGAATGAAATCCACTCTACACACAGCAAAATGTCGCTGAATCTTCAATCCATCTTCCCAAACAAGAATCCCACCACCTCTTCCGCTTCTCTCTCCTCCCCACCACCACCCCATTTCCTAAAACCCCACCTCAATTTTCCCTTCCCACCCCCAAATTCACCAACCCAATCCCCAATTTCCACGTTCTCCAAACCCCAGCCCCACCTCCTCCTCCGCCGCGTCGGAAAAAAAATCAACGCCTCTTCCGATGAGGCATACGCCGCCATCGGCGTCGCCCCAAACCCCTCCAGCCTCGACGCTTTTCTCTCCGCCGTCGAATTCCTCAGCCTCGCTTCCTCCGCGGCGGTTTCCGTCTACGTCGCTGTGGGCGGCGGAGTTTTAAAAGGGGGGGGTTTGGTTTTGGGGAGCAGGATTCTGGTGTGGCAGTGCGTGGTTTTGGTGGGCGGTGTTTTGGTTGGGGCAGCGATACGGCGGCGGCAATGGAGGAGGATCTGTGGGGCGGCGGCGGCCCCTTCTGGGGTTAATAATTTGTCGGCTAGGGTTGAGAAAGTGGAGGAGGATTTGCGGAGCTCCGCAACCATAATTCGGGTCTTATCCAGGCAGCTCGATAAGCTCGGGTCACGTTTCCGGGTCACCCGTAAAGCTCTCAAAGAACCCGTTTCCGAGGTAGGTTTATCTTTTTTATTATTTTTATGAAATGATGATCTGCTACATTGATATTTGTTTGTTGAGCATGCGGGCGCATTGTTCGATTTTCGATTGCTGTTTGGAATTAGATAAAGCTCGGTTGACAATACGGAACGATCGATTTATTAATTAATGTCGAATTGGTAGATTAATAATCGGGTGACCAATATAATTTACGAGAGTGACGATCGAATATATATTATATATATATAAAGCTATTCAATTGCATTATTTCCTTTTTCCGATTGCTATTTGGTATTATATAAAGCTCGGTTGAGAATACGGAACGATCTATTTACTAATCAATGTCGAACAAGGCGTGTGTCATTTGGTAGATTAATGATCGGGTGACCAATATTATTTACGAGAGTGACGATCGAATATATGTATAAAATAGGAATAATCAAGTGGTTGTGTAAGTAAGATTTGCATGAATTGTTCTGTATTTGGTCGGGGGATTTGGGGCCTTTTGTTCGAGTTTTTTTTGAAGTATATATTATTTTTATATAAATCAAGAAATTTATATATTATTAATCTTCAGACAGCGGCATTAGCGCAGAAGAACTCCGAGGCAACTCGAGCTTTGGCAGCACAAGAAGACATTTTGGAGAACGAACTCGGTGAAATTCAAAATGTTCTTCTCGCTATGCAGGTATGTATTTTGCTCGTTCCGACTTGTTGAATTATTTCAAGAAAATAATGATTTTTAAGCAGCCTATTAACGAGTACAAAGTGTTATAGATTAAAAGAGCTTATTGCATTCAGTACCCCTTGTGTTATATGGAATTGCTAAAAACTCCCCGTGTCATTAATGCATTCTTTTTAGCACACAACCCTCTTAATCGGAGTTTTTAGGGAGCTGTTTGCTAAAACCATTGAATCATAGTATAAAACGGGGAGTTTGTTTAGCAAGTAGAGTTAATACAGGGTTGCTGAATGCAATAAACCCTTGATTACAACCTCGTACTCGATACTCAACGTAAAGCATCATTCAAAAATATCTTCTTTTTTTTAGATCAGTTTATATTTTTAATGTTGTTACTAATTACTATTATTATGTTCGAAGAAGCTATTTCTGATTTTAGATGGCTTGACTGATTTTATTTTTTTTGTTACGTTTTACCCCGGGAAAAATACCAAGTATCGAAAATTGATTTTGCCTTTTGTCTTATCATATTGATATAGTAACATAAACATAAACAATACTAAAAAAGTACAAAATATTGTGTTAATCGATTTCTATTCGTTATACGAATATATCATGTAGGAGCAACAGCAAAAACAGCTTGAGCTAATTATTGCATTAGGAAAAGCTGGGAAATTGTGGGAAACAAGAAGCGTACCAACTAAAGATCACAATGCATCTGATCGGAACTCTAAATCATCGGTCGATGGAGCACCGAATTCGGAAAACAAATCAAATCGAAACTCGGGTATTTCAAAAGTAAGCCATTTATGATTTTTTATTTGTTTGTTCTTGAAAGAAAAAAAATGTCTCTATATAACAAGGAAATGTTGTGTTTGTAAATCTTTTGTGCCGAACTTAGGTTTTATTGAACGCTTGTTCCCAGTTATTTATTCTATATGCTACAGTCGGTGAATTTCACTAGGTTATATTCTGCCATACACGTGTATAGATCAGATCAGATCGATACATATTTTGCACACATCCACATGTATATGTGTGTGGTGGTGTGTCAATCGAACGTGGAAAACTACTTTGTGAAATTACCATCTACGAGAAATCTCTCAATTCTTGCTATACTCGATTATAAAATCAAACACGATTTTGAAAGCTCGATAAAGATTCAGACAAGATTACAATTTAATTAAATTAACGTCTAGTATTCATTAATATACATAATTGAAATATCTTGAATTAATCTTTATGAATTTATCATTGCTACCAAAATTTAATTGTTGCAATCATTTTTAAAGCGCGTCAGCTCAATGAAGAAAATGGAAAAGGGTGAATTGCGCTTTTTTAAAGCGCTACCTAAAAAAGGAATTAAATGTGTTTTTTTTTTCTCTCTTAAAAAAAAAAGAAAAACTTATTTAAGCCAAAAGGGTGACAAGAATTATCACATGTTGGCTTCTGTTTAAAGCTTGTAGTGCAATGATTCATTTTCTTAAGGGACCACAACCAAAATAATAATAATTTAGCTTGACTTAGTCCCATCTTCAATTCTTACAACAATTATATTGATTTTCAAGATTTTATTTATTTATTTATTGAAATTGTAATATTTGTACGTTATGTGGTACGGAAATTTCAACTTCTTAATATTTCCGCGTTTCGGACGTGTTTCGTGTCAAACACTCGAGGACACCTGTCGGACATTTATGGGTCGTTTTACAATTTCGTAAAGTTTAGAAACATGTTTGAATATGAAATTTTCAAATACATTTGTTGCTTCCCTAGTTCATTACATGATTTAATGATCAGTTGCAAATTGATGGAGTGGAAATATATAAAAATAAATTTATATAACATATTTATAAATATACCCTTGTACTTTTAATATTTATTCGTTTTCTCCAAAAAAATTATCTCAATTTTTTTGGGACGTGTCCGTTTCCCAATTTCACCACATCGTCGTTTCAATGTCCGTGTTACATGGTCTATACAAGATTCAATTTTTTATTCCATTCAATTCATGAAAATTTCTTAATAAATTTCCCAAAAATACTACATTTATAATATCAATAATGCAATTTATTCTACTGATAAGTGAGCGAAAAATGAAATTTTCGATTTCTCCGATTCCGATCCTTAAATTTCCATTTTTTTTTCACTCTCCATTATTTTGTTTTATTTTCACGTCAAGTACTTTTCAATCGCCCCACCCCCACCGTACCTACCATTCTCTATAACCAGAAATTCCTCCCTCCATATTTACATCCCGCACCCCCATAAATTAACTATTTCTATTTTGCCACCTCTTTAATCTTTTATCATATAAATCTGACCACATTACAATTTTCTGCTTCTGCCATGAATTCTCTTCTCTCGTTAATTTCTTTTAATTCCATCATTTTTATTACAGCCATTTTCTTCCTAATTATCTCTCCCTCGTACTGCTCAAATCATAAGCACCGACCAGACACTTTCATGGT